AACCCACTGTGTTCCTTACTGGAGCCACTGGTTTCCTCGGCGCGCATATCCTCCGAGACCTACTTACCCGTAAGTCTCCTTCCACTAAGGTGGTAGCTCTGGTTCGGGCAAAGACCGAGGAGCAGGCACTTGAGCGACTTCGCTCCACTTGCCGCGCATATGGTTTCTGGGATGAAGCATGGACCTCCAAGCTGCAAGCCGTCTGTGGTGATCTTGGAAAGCCGCAGTTTGGTCTTTCCCAGTCAGTGTGGGACGACCTTACCAACCGCGTCGATGCTGTGATTCACAACGGAGCTCTTGTCCACTGGGTCTACCCCTATGCGACACTTCGACCGGCTAATGTTCTTGGTACCATTGATGCCCTCAAGCTGTGCGCCAGTGGAAAGGCCAAGCAGTTTGCCTTTGTCAGTTCGACCAGTGCTTTGGATAAGGACTACTACGTCCAAGAATCCGAACGTATCATTGCCGCTGGTGGAAATGGTATCAGCGAGGATGACGATATGGAGGGCAGCAGAGTTGGCCTTGGAACCGGTTACGGTCAAAGCAAATGGGCCGGAGAATACCTTGTCAAAGAGGCCGGCCGCAGAGGCCTGCGGGGAACTATTGTCCGCTCTGGATATGTTCTTGGTGATTCGGTCACCGGAACTACCAACACCGATGATTTCCTCATCCGTATGCTCAAGGGCTGCATTCAGATTGGCCTTCGCCCCAATATCTTCAACACCGTGAACATGGTGCCCGTTGATCATGTGGCTCGTATTGTCATTGCCGCTGCTTTCCACCCGCCCGCCACGGGCGTTAACGTCGCTCATGTTACTGGACACCCTCGTCTGCGCTTTAACCAGTTCCTCGGTGCGCTAGAGCTCTACGGATACAATGTCCCCCAGGTTGACTACGTCCCTTGGTCCACTTCTCTCGAGGAGTATGTCAACGATGGCGAGCACAATGACAAGGAGTCTCAGCATGCTCTGTAAGTTACACTCCTCTCGGTCCGTTACTGAATTGATACTAACCTTCTTTAGTATGCCCCTTTACCACTTCGTTACCTCCGACCTTCCCTCCAACACCAAGGCTCCGGAATTAGATGACGTAAATGCAGCCACAGCTCTGCGTGCCGATGCCACCTGGTCGGGCGTTGATGCGTCAGCCGGTGCTGGTGTGACTGAGGAATTAGTTGGCTTGTATGCCTCTTATCTCGTTCAAACCGGTTTCCTGCCCGCACCGACCGTCGCCGGCGCCCGCCCTCTGCCTGCAGCGCAGATTAGCGAGGAACAGAAGAAGACCCTGTTGAGTGTTGGTGGCCGGGGTGGTACATCTTGAAATTTATAAAAAGAAGCACATGTACTTATGTATTCTGATTTTAAAAAGCATTTACATTTCCAATATTCTTTACCAACAACCCTCGTATTCAAATGAACGATTAAATGTGTGGCTTGTAGAGTACATATACACCGGATTTTAGGTCGCGTAAGTTGGGTTTCTGTTTCCGCTTTGGTGCTCATCCCTTGCCGCTTTTTGCTCACTGAGCATCACCTGATCATTATATAAGCCGGATGAACGGGGTCCCGAGGTCCCGAGGTCGCCCGCTCACTACGGAGTACTGAGGAGCCCTAATCCCACTCACTCACTGAGCGTGATCTGATCGCTCTGACTTACTCACTGAGCACGACTGGATTATTGAAAGGGAGGGAATCTACAGTCGAAATTTTCCAAAAAAAAAAAAAAAAATAGACTAGTATACACTAAATCCGTTAAATAAAAGCCTATCATAAAAGTTTACTATCTTCACGTCTAACACATTTACGCACTCTGCATGTTTATGCACTATAAACATATCCGGAATAGAGTTGAGTTAGGGCCTTCAAATCAATACACATGATTGATCAATGGCTTAACACCTAATCTAGTAGGACTGGTGCAGAGAGATCGGAAGACTGTCTGCGCGCAATCGAATGTTCTTCTGTTTATTTGCTCAGGCGCCCTTGCTTAGATCGAGTCTGCCCTCATGTGGAGCATAATGTGAAGTTTCTTTCCTTGTTCTGTTACAGGACTCGTACTAGCACTGTAGCAACTAAGCGGTTCTAAGCGGACCATGAAAGCGCTGGGATCAAGGATATATATATGATCATGATTTCCCACCAGCGCAAAACAATTCAAATACCTCGTCAGTCGATCAAGACTACGGATAAAACCAAACCTATATTATCATCCATCACGTCATCGATCAATCCAACAAGAGACCATGACGAATCCCACCTGTCCTGAAGATATCAAGCCCACCCGCACCGCCGACTTCCACGAGATTTTGGCCGTGGCAAAGCTGTACACCGACGCAATCCGGACCAGCAACCCTGAATACATCCACAAATCCTTTCATAAGGATGCCACTATGTGCGGGCACATAGGTCCTGACTTTGCCAATGGACCAGCCACAGGCCTTTTGGAAATAATGAAGGAGAAGGGTCCAGAACCTAGTTTGATCTCCCACCTGCATATCCTGTCGACAACCCCTACCACCGCCATTGTTGAGGTAGATGCAGAGGTGGATACCGTTGGGTTCAGAGATCATTTATGCATGGCCAAGGTGGACGGACGCTGGCAAGTCATGACCAAGCTTTACCACTTATATGAGAAGAAGCGTGCTTGAGCGCTGGCTTTCTTTTGTTCGAGTGACCGATGGATTGGAGGTAGTACTTGAATATCCGTTATATGATAGGATACCATCAATCTATGTCCATTAGAAATAGCAACCAGAAGTTTTGCTCGGTGGATTCATGATTTCGATGCAGTATTTCGTCCAAATTTATCCCTCTATAAGCATTACTAGCTTATTGCTATCCACTCCCTGATTCATCGGATCTTTTTTGACCTCCAAAGATAATTTTCGCTGACATAAAGTGCGGAAGTAAAGCAAGGGGGATCATCACCGTCAAGAGACGGAAAAATTATCCTAGGCGCCGATATTTTATGCGAGATGCCCCGTCCCGGCCCGACTCTGTGGTTTTGGGTGAGAAATATAGGACACGGATTGTCTTTTTCCCTGTGGGTATATCTCCCTTGCATATTGCATGTCATACACTATATACAGTACAATGTAGACAAATGTATGTTATACGTATTTCGGAGATTCTACTAGACTGTAGACCGGTCACTCTATAACACATCTTATCAATTCGATCATTGGGGAAAAAGCAAGCTTTGTTTTCAGCGTGCTGTATCTACCACGTAGAAAGACTAGGGCATGCTGGCCCCGACATTGATATTGGCGCCATACACAGGGCTTGAATCCTCGCTGAGCAACCAGACTATCGTCCGAGCCACATCGCCCGCTTTAACCACCGAAAATCCTTCTTTCCTATAGACCTCTTTGACCTCATCGCTCGTTTTAGCCTTGGGCATAAACTGTGGCAGCAACGGAGTGTCGGTTATCCCTGTGAAAAACTTCTTGTTAGCCCCGTCTAGCCGTTCTGTCATGGAACAATAAGAGCCGTACCTGGAGATACACTGTTCACGCGAATCCCGAATGGAAATGTATCTGCTGCCACGCATGTTGTAAAGTAGGTGGAAGCTCCCTTGGAAGTTCCGTATGCATACACATCTGGGATATGGCTCAGTGCTGCAATACTACCCACGTTGACGATGCTGCGGTCATCAGAGGGAAGCGATTTCATAGCGCGAACCTCCGCACGGGTGCAGTAGAAAACACCATCAAGATTTACTTTGAGTACCTTGCTCCATTCCTCATCTTCCTCCTCCAGAATCGTAGGCGAGTTTCGGAGCCCAGCACCCTGGGCAATGCCGGCAATGTTTGCGGCCCCGTGAAGGTTACCAAACTTGGCCACGATACCCTTCACCCATTTTTCAACCTCAGTGGGCGAAGTCACATCTAACAAACTGCAGTGCACCTCTGTGGCTGGGTTGATTTTCTTGATAGATTCCTTCAGCTCGTCGAAGTTCTTGCAGGATATATCGCCCACACAAACAGCAGTAGCACCGCGCTCGGCGAGCAGCCTGCTAGTGGCTGCGCCGATACCAGATGCACCACCCGTGATGGCAAATACCCTGGATTTCACGGATGCCATTGGATCAGGTCGCTTTATTTTGGTATGATGGGCCTGGTATGTCTGAGCAATGATATTCAAAGCGAAAGTGAAAGGGTTGGAGAATATTCTGAGCGGGGCATTCGTGCTCGAAAACAAATGTCTCCCTTCTTCAATACATAATGTAGTTATCTTCTAATCTGCCATCCTCTCCATTGTGTACATAAAATTCTAATATACTGGCCGCCAGGGCCGTAAGGGACTTGATTTACATTCTGGAAGGATAAAGGATTTCCTATGTCGCACTTCTACGCAAGGATAGACACATTGGGTAGCATTGCATAGCTAGCTTATAAAAATGAAGCGATAGATTTCCCGCAGCAATATATTGTGCAGTAAATGGCTGGCTGAACAGTACACCGTAATTTCCTGATCCTGAAAGAGCATACCATGACACGATGCATCACTCATAAACACCCTCGTGACCTATAGACATATTAGAGGATGTAATATCCCATAGATATGCGGACTAAATATATATATTAGGATGATACTTTGCATCTGCATTGCAGCGTAAGAAAACTAAAATTCAGACTATTGATTAGCGGAGTAAAAGCCCATGCAACGCTTTTCTTGTGTGCCTCATTTGACTTCAAATTTAAGCCTTGAACTAGATCTTTCAAGTCATGTGTTGAGATCTACACGCATTTGGCTTATGCACATCGGACGAGCGGCAACATTCTTCTCCGTGAAGCCGGCCTGGGCCATCAGTAAGCTGAGCATGGTTTCGGGACTCTTTTACCTAGTGATGGGAAGTGGTTCTATCCCGCTTGTGATACGGCAGTTAGGACCTGTCAGGACCAATTAATTAGAGCTATACAGGAATGAAAATAGAAGGACTGTTTAATAACTAATATCTCAGGATTCCCGAAGAAGAAGATATCAAGGCTAACAGGCTAGCTATGCCCATTGTTGCTTCTCGTGCTCTGCAAAGGCCTTGAAAAACCTTGGCGGATTCCCCGTCACCTCTTCAACAGAACCGTTGAGAGTTTCCTGGGGGCTATTTTTGACATCAACTTCCATCGCAGAAGACATAGCTGCAAAGTCTGCAGGCATTCCAATTTCGTCAACCAGAACCTTGGTATATTCTGCTTCCGACAAACTGTAATGGGTGATTTTCTTGCCGAGGACCGAGGTGAGAATCTCCGCAACCTAGGATGTGAATCAAATCAGTTTTGTTCATCAATAAGAAATAGGATATAATCATCTTACCTGCCCATATGAGAGGAGCTCTGGGCCTTGAATGATGTATTCTGTCTTGTGTGAGCCCCATTCTGTCAAGCAATGGAAAGCAACGGAGGCAATGTCATCGGCTGAGATGAATGGGATCTTGCCCTCTCCCGTCGCTGATACTACTTGACTCTCGTTCTTGATCCATGTCCGTTGGGGGTCTTCCAATAGATTCTCTGGGAAACAAAAACAGTTTAGCCACTCTATAGTCCTAAGCGATAGGCCAGACAGGAATGAATCATACCCATGAACCACGTGGGTCTCAGTGCCACATACTCAACTCCTGGTAGAGAGTCTAGATAGGCGTGGACCTGGCCCATCGAATGATCGCCTTTCTCAATATTACTGGCACTGACGAGCACAAATCGCTGGACTCCCTTAGAGCGAGCAAGATCAACGAATTGGATCATAGGCGGGACCATGTCCATGGTAGGGGGTCCAACCAGATAAACGGCTGAGATGGGTTGCAATCCATGTTTACCAGTATCTGCAAATTGGTTGTCCCACGTTGTCTTTTCATACCAGTTGAAATGGGAAGACTTGTTTGGGCTTTCCTGTGAAGTCGAGCTAGATCCAACCAGGAATGGAGTTTTTGCAGCATCAAGAAGAGCCGCAAGACGACTGGCCGTTTTACCACGTCCCCCAGTACAAGAATAGTCATTGCGAAAAGGTCTAGATAAAAGTTGTCCTTTGTATATAGCTTTCCCTTTTGGAGGATAATTGAGTTGGTTAGGAGATATTCGGGCAATAAATACTCAGTTGATAACTCATATTAACTGTAAAGCAACATGTGACTAAAAATATGCCGGTCTTACCTTATGCTTGACTATGACGAATTCAAGTGCAGATACTATTTTTCCTTGTTTGAACCTACCAGGCTAATGGCTGAATGAGGTTTGCAGCTCCCAGGATATTCCACAAGCACTCAAAATATGGCTCCGCCAATTGACCGCCATTGAATATCAACATCTCATGTGTCGGTTGAGCTATTGGCGAAGGCTTCCTAGTGCAGCGCCAGTACATCCTGCATTCTAATTTGAGCTCATGAAGTCGCGGTGGGCTAGTCGCCACATTTTCGGAAACTGATGCAACTTTTCACAGTCGTAGCAAGCTCCAACCCCCTTGCATATTGAATATGTCGACACATCCCGTATGTTGTAGTCAACTTGGCAGCCCACGATACCAAGCTCAAAATTCGCTACACCGAAGAGAAATATAGTAAAGAAATACGCGAACTTCGAGTTCCATACATTTAGGGAACCCCCGGGTTTTCAGGTGTACCTTCCTAATCGGGTACGTACCCTGCTTCTGCCTGCCGCACATCATACCGCCTTCCAATTTAATATACCGCTTTTATGTCAAACTCCCCATAGTGCCAGAACAGTAGCTACCTGTAATTTGTATGTAAACTGCTAACAGAACTAAGTCACTTTTGTCATATCAACTAATTTATTGTCGACTGCTTCATCGTTAATGGGTTAAACTCTATAGGAATTAGGTAGAATATACGTTTATTTCTGATCAAAATGCATGTTTTTTTCACTATGTATACCAGAAGTGGGCAGAATATACTCTCTACACTGGCAGAAAATATGGCAGTATTCTTGATCGTACCTCATTAGGAAGGCGGTACTGAAAATTCAGGGGAGCGGTATCAGCTAGATGTTGCTATTCGAGGCATGACGGTATACCTAGGTATAACACGACCTGGAGGATTCTGCTAGCTATGTCAAATTGCCCGTGCAAAACTCTGCAACACACCATCAAAGTCTCGCTTGGACATTTTTCTCCTGACCTATTCCAGCCCCCTCAACGCCCTCTTGCACCCGCGTGGCCAATTCGGATGAAACCAGAGCGAAAGTGCGATACACCTTGTTTCGGATATCCTGGCGAGTCTGCGAGACTGATTCGATAATTCTCTCCACCATTCGGTCCTGGAAGTCCTGACTCCGGAACTCGGGAAGTATTTCATAATACTCCCGAGCGAATTTGTAGTCATCCTCATGAGGTTGAGACCATGCATCCGACGAGACCTGCGCAACCCACCCAGCGAAGTCTTGCCCGAGGCTGGCTTGATGCTCAGCGGTTGATGAGGTCCGGGGAGATGCCTGCTTCGACAATGTCCTCCCCAGGCGGTATCGCTGTGCGTCAGGGTATGCGAAGAGGCGGGCCTGTAGGATCGGATCCTCGGAGGCCTCTATACCAGAAACAAGATTAGAAGGTGAGAACGCTAGCTGCTCAACCTCACTGAAGTAGTCTTTCACGTTGCGATTCAAGGTGAGCTTGCCAAAAGGCCGAGAAGGGATTTTCTCGACACCCTGGGGGTATGTTCCCAAGTTCCAGTGTTTGGTGACGTCAAGAATATTGAAGCCAAGATGAGGCGCGTCCTTGGGATCAATAACCTGAACATTCGCCGTCCAAGATGGATAATCACCTCGCTCGATGGCCTCAAAGAGATCCCTGGACGCAAAGTCGGGCTCGCTGGAATCCATGATGGTGCCAGCACCATCCTTGAAGTTGGGTCCGCGATCCGAAGACAGGAAGAAATGAACGTATTTGAATGAGCCATCGGGCATAACCCATTTGAAGGCGTGTCCTGAGTAGCTGCTCAGGGTGCGCCAAGTGAACATACGTCCAAAATCACTGTATTGCAGCAACACCATATGAATTGATTCATGGTTCTCGGTCACGAATTCCCAGAAATTGTTCGGGTTGAGGCGGTTGGTCTGGGGGTCTCTTCGTTGCGAGTGTATCATGTCGGGGAACTTGATAGGATCGCGGATGAAAAAGAAGGGAAAATTGAGGAAGACCCAGTCCCACTCCCCATCGCTGGTAAACAACTTGGTCGCCATGCCCTTCAGGTCCTGAACCCCCTCGGAGGAGCCACGCTCCAAACCAGTGGTTGAAAAGCGTGTTACCAAGGACGTCTTTTTGCCGACACCGAGGAGCATGTCGATATTACAAATGTCGGAGATGTCGTGGGTCACCTAGTCACCGAATTAACTTCCAATTCCAATTCAGGATTGGAACACGATTTAGATTGTACCTACCTCGAACTCCCCGTACGCCCCAGCTCCAAGAGCATGAACCACCCGCTCAGGGATCTTTTCGCGGTTGAAATTGGACAATACTTCCAAGGTATGGACATCTTGAGGGCCGGTGCTAGAATGGCCGGACGAGGGTGCTTTGCCCATGACTGGGCATTTCTTCGCGTAGTTGGGAGCCATTTTTTGCTCAATGTATTGGATGAAAGACTTCAGAGTGAACTGTGTCGTTGAGAACTCGGCTTTCTCCGGGCTAAATACTACTAAAATCCAGTATGCAGAGGTGTAAGCCCGCAGAGACTACCTTTTCTGACTATCGGAGATTTCCTTTCTATCTCTCTCTTGTTATCTGGGAACCCTTGCAAAGCCTGCATTGCATGGAGAAGAATATGGTCTTTTCAACTCCCAACGTTTCGTCACACTTTTTTGGCTGTAAGGGATGAATTGCATTCCATCTTGCGTCTAATCGAAATGTAGTTATATCCAGGATTTACATACCGTGTAATACCTAGTAATATAGCAGTACATACCCTAATCTGACCTCTGGGCATAGATAGCCCTTGGAATGGAAAGCGCATAACTAAAAAGGCTTGATTTGGGGAGACACGGGGATCAGGTCCTGAGTCTCCTGCATTTCTTTTTTTTTCCTGTGCATTTCGATGTTACTATATTTTAGATAGACTGTAGACTTTATGCATCCAATTGCGAAATCTGAGTCGCAGTTTTGTCACCAACTCATACAATCACCTTTTACAGGGCACATTGATTGGATAGATGCAACATGTATGTTGTAATAATAAGTATTCCCGGTTTCACAGCCAACTTTTATATCGCCCATTATTGATTGGCGTCAACTGGCATCCCTTTAACTTCGGACGTAGCCGTACAGCATTCTATTTTTCCCTTGCATATACAATTAATTTACCCCATAAGAGGCTGAACTGTACATTTATCCCGCATAAACCAGATTTATCTGGATGCAGTAAGGTGGGTACTGAGTTTCACCATAAGCCTCTTGAGAAACTGATATCACATGAGAAGTTATCAATCTGTTGAATTTCATCATATTGCATAATAATATAGTTGGCTGTTCACCTCAAAAAAAAGATACACAATTGCAACGTATCCAATATCTCAATTGGGACACATTTGGAGCTGGTAAAAAGTAACATCACAACCCTCAGCCGACCATTCTTTCACATCCGTCAATCCCGCCGACCCAAATAATACTTGACGCTCGTCTGTATCATACTTGTAGCTACATCCGAAACGAACCTTCTCATGCTTCTCGATAACGATGTCGTTCAATGGGCCCCCAAGTCTGACCTCCTTGCCCTTCGTGATGAGAGAGGCTTCGTGTCGGCCTAGCATATAGTTCCACTCACTCAGAAAGTACCAGTCGCTGGGCTGAAATACCTGGTCCCTCATTTTATTTGGAGCGAACAGGGTGTTTCCATAGTCCAGGGACGCTAAGGCAAAAGGAACGACGCCTTCAGCAGTGTAGGCGCGCAGCACTTTGGTTGGCATTTTGCAACTGTCCAGACTCAGGAGAATAGAGCTTTGAGCTGGGCTAGCGGCCAATGCGTTGTTTGCGATGTTCTGAAGAAACTTGGCTGCATTTGCCCGCGAATAGTTACCTACTGTCAGTCCAAACAATAGGAGACAGTGCGGCCGGTCCTGTACTCCCGGGGTATCTTTCAGCCACTGCACTCCATCTTCGAAAGTTCCATGAAGTGCACCAATTTTGACAAACTTGAATTGTTCGTATGGAAGGGACTGCAGCGTAGATTGAAGCTCCGAAAAACTCAGATCGAGCGCATAGAATGTAATGTTCTTCTTCGATGCCTCCAATGCTTCCAGTAACGGTAGAACCTTGTCCAGGCTTCTGTACAGCAGTGTTAGCTACCTCTTAAATAGGAATAGAACTATTCAGGTGATCATTTTACTGACGCGCTCCCAAGATCAACCACTACACTGTTGTTGGCAATCGACTCAACCATTTCAGCCGCTCGGGCGCGTAGAATGCGCAGCTCTTCATGTCGTGGATAGAAGTCGGCGGCAGTAGAGTGTTCAATCCAGTGCCGAATTCCTTCCCCGCTGTAGAAGAGAAGAGCTGGAAGAGTTTTGGGCGTCGCGGACAGCCCAGCCCTGACTTGATCGGGAATGGATTCCTCGAATGTGCTCTGACGTACGTCAATAATGCGTGAGTTGATGATAGTCATATTTTCAGTTCCTTTATTTTGCCAGAGGACATGAATTGTATCAAAAATTGATTCTACACCAGACTATCTGACGGCTCAGCCACATTTAATCCTCATCTCTGGCGGTGAGCACCTGAGCATCTTCGTGGTGTGCTCACCAAATATATCGATACGTCACATGTATTAAATGGGCAAGTGAGCTCAGCGTATCCATCGCCAAGTTTTTCAATGATCGTCGTCCCGTCCTGCACATGCCCTCCGAGTCCCATTCCTCACTACCCACTCCTAACTTGCTAATAAAAAGCCCCTCTTGGTCCCACCGTCGCTTCAGCTGTAACAGGCGGGTATAGCTCTGTCCCCAGTAGACCTGTTGGAACTCTTTTTCGTTCGGGTCCCCCACGTTACGATAGGATAACCGAAACCCTGGGTCAATGGCATAAAGCAAGGGCATGTGAATATTCGTAAGGTTTTGTAATGCACCTGCTTTTCCTTCAATAGTCGGCTCAACGGGTCGCACGAAGTTGATCAGCTGAGTAGCATTCCTCCAAGCTGGATGCATGGACGTCTCCATGAGGTCTCCATTTCTCATGACTTGCCCTCCGAGGTTACTGGTGAACAATAGATCGCCCGGCCGCATGGGGAGTTGGGCCAGACCCTCGGCCATGTATGTAGGCCCCTTGGAAGCATTGAATAAGTTGTTAGAAATGGCGACAGTGGACCCAAGAACACCGTAGTCGTTATCGGTGTGTATGTCGGGAACCTGTCGATAGTTCCTGCTGAGTTTCGGCAATGATGTTGATTCGTATGTCACATGAGTTTCAATGCGCCTCATATCCTCAACAAATGGCTGCATTCGTTGGTCGACATCCACCGTATTGGTTTGATCCAGAAAGAACATTTTAAGTTTTGCCTCAATAGAGTGTTCAGATATCACAGTGATGATCAGCTGCCCACCAACATTTTCACGGTTCAATGACTGCAGCACAGTGAAGAATGCAGCAAGGCTTCGAGAATATTTGCCGTGAGATTGGGATGTATGCACGCCGAGCTCAGCCGCAATAGCAGGGACGTCGGGAAAAACTCGCATAGTAGCTCGCGTAACAATTCCAAAAGTCCCACCTCCACCCCCCCGCAATGCCCAAAATAGGTCCGGATTCTGAATAGCGTTGGCCAGAACGATGTCTCCCTGTCAAGGTTAGAAACCCACGATATTTTATGACATCAGGCTCTGGTAGGCTTACGCTAGCGGTCACAACTTCAAATTCCAGAACGTTGTCCACTGCCAATCCATGGTGTAGACTAAGAAAATCTGAAATTCCTCCTCCCTGCAGGAATCCTCCTACAACTCCGACTGTAGGACAATCGCCACCAACAACAATGTATCCATTTTGCGCGGACCTTGCGTATAGGTCCCCCATCATGACACCAGCTCCAACACTCACAGCTGGACCGAAAGACTTTTCAAATCCGTGGAGCTGAAAATTTTCGTGGAATTTAATATCTTGCAGCCGGTGGGTATGGATCTGCAATGCATTGGGCGAGCTGGATCGACCCGCTAGATCATGGCCCGTGTTCCGGACGATAAGGCGAAGATCGTGGCGTTTAGCAAACATTACAGCTTCTTGGACATGCTCCGTGGAGTTCACCATTGCCGAGTACAGAGGAATGCGCCCTTGGTGGCATTGGGTACGACCCTTCATCTGAGATCCCAATGGGCATGCATCACCAGGGGATTGGCCAGACTCCCATACCCAATCCTGCAATGCACCTAGTTGATAGTCTCAGCTGAGGAATATTTTTGGAGGTACCTAACATGAGTGCCAGGCTTACCGGGTTGCGATGCCCTCCATCCACTGTCCCTTGACATACGCATCACATCCTCGCACAAGGGGTGATCGAGGCTATGGTTATAACAGACTGATGCAATGGGTTGTAACCTAACAAGAGTGAACTTTATCGATCTGTTCAGTAATTCCCACTGTTCATCAGACGGCCAACATGGTTCCCACGGCTGGCAACGACATGAAGACTGTAAGAAGTGTGTAAATATCAGCCAACTGAGAGCCATACCCAGCCCAGCAGTCCCCAGAAAATGAAACATCATCGCCGATTGGTGGTGGATTTTTATCAACAAAAAGAATGTGCATAGATGCGGTTCAGAATTCTGTAAATCCAACCCATTTTATGCTTGCATTCAGCTAAAAGGCGGTAGCCAGCCCTCTAGATTATTTGATAAGTTTCCAATATTACGGCCAAGTCCGACAGTAAAGCACAGGAACATAGTTCGGGCCTACCCGCAGTGTAGATGTGACGTATCGAGAGCTCCACTATATACGTGAAGGGTGAGAATGAACAGTATCTCGCCATATCTACGAGAGTGTCGATACAATCAATCATGATCAGCTGTATGTGTGCTTCCCTGCAAGTCTTTCACCCCTTGATTCTACGGTGTATCTTGCATATTTATCCTGATTTTCGTCATCTTCATGATCATCGACCATTCTATTCAATCTATAGCCGTATTCACTGTGGAAAGATATAGTGTCAGTTGTAGAACATATATACCGCTTCATTCTACAACTATTCTAATGTGTTAAGCAGCTGTCACTATGGGCTCCATTGAACCACCTAATGCTTCTAGCTGTCTTGTATACCAGACCATCACTGAGTTTGCAGACTTCCCCGACCACGATCAGAAGCTATGGTGGCACAGTACGGCACCTATGTTCGCAGAAATGCTCAAGGTTGCTGGATATGATATTCATTCTCGGTACAAAGCTCTCGGGTTGTACCAGAAGTTTATCATTCCTTTCCTTGGTGTCTACCCTACCAAAACCAACGATCGATGGCTCAGCATCCTGACTCGATACGGCACGCCTTTTGAACTGAGCTTAAACTGCACCCACTCAGTGGTACGATACACCTTTGAGCCCATTAACGCTGCCACTGGCTCCCTGAAAGATCCCTTCAACACTCATGCCATCTGGGACGCACTCGATACACTGATCCCTTTGCAGAAGGGCATTGATCTAGAGTTCTTCGCGCATCTGAAGAGGGATCTCACTGTCAACGACCAAGACATGGCCTACCTCCTAGAGAAAAAAAGGTTGGGGGCCAGATCCGAACTCAAAACAAACTGGCCTTGGACCTGAAGGGTGGCGAGTTCGTATTGAAGGCTTATATATATCCCGCACTCAAATCTCTGGCAACCGGAAAGTCTGTCCAAGAGCTCATGTTTGACTCTGTTCATCGCCTTTCCCACCAGTACCCGACTCTCGCCGCGCCTCTCCGCAAATTAGAAGAGTATGTTCACTCTCGCGGAACTTCCAGTACCGCCTCTCCCCGGCTCATTTCTTGCGATCTGTGTGACCCACGTCAATCTCGGATCAAAATATACCTCTTGGAGCTGAATGTCTCCCTGGAATCGATGGAGGACCTGTGGACACTAGGCGGCCGACGAAACGATACCCAAACACTCGCTGGATTGGAGATGATTCGTGAGCTATGGGACCTGATCAACCTCCCCACCGGTATTCTCTCGTACCCGGAGCCCTATCTCAAGCTTGGCGAGGTCCCCAATGAGCAGCTTCCTCTGATGGCCAACTATACCCTTCACCACGACGACCCAATGCCCGAACCGCAGGTCTACTTCACGACTTTCGGTATGAACGATGGCCGGGTGACGGATGGACTAGCCACCTTCTTCAGACGTCATGGCTACACCCATATGTTGCAGACATACAGGGATAGCATGCGTGCTTACTAGTGAGTTGAGAACAATTCTATTCACTCAACTTATCTAACAAAATCTAGTCCTCATGTGGATCATGACACTGTCAACTATCTCCACGCCTACATCTCTTCTCTTATCGAAAGGGGAGCCCGTATTTAAGTGTCTATCTCCAATCCTTCGAGACTGGTGACTGGCCAATCTGTGAGTCAAATTTCTACTCAAATTCTCATGATATTGTGTTTTAACGCGGTTTTCCCTGTTCTCTCATCCAGCCAGCTTCGGTGCCCCCATCCTTGAGCCTGTCTCTAAGAAGATGTGTCGTGGCCATCCTGTCTCTTTCGAGGTACCTTTGACAAAGCAGCAGGTGGTGGCCAGTGAGTGAAAAGAAACCAGATTTGGCGAGTTTCAGGCATAGAGATGTGACCAAAAAGGACAACCACAAACGCGGATTCCACCATATCTCGGTACAGAGTTGATCCAGATGTTTTTCGAGGAGATGTGCAATCCAATTGATGACCGGTGTAAATTGCGAACTAGATGGTAGGAGTAGGTTAAAGGATTTGCTGGAATATATGTACTCTTGATCTTCTGAATATCGATGTCAGCTTTGAAATGATGCTTCAACGCCTAGAAATGGGTGTATGCGGAGATTTGTATGGTGGGAATAGCTTCATTTTTCTGGGGAACAGACTTTGCTTATTAAGCCCTCTGTCACATGCCCAGGTGGGGTCTAAAATAAGGCAGAATTCAGACACATTCAGGCATCAACCCTGCAAATCAGGCATATGACCTTTGGCAGCTCTGCCCTTTCGCACGCGGCCTAGAATGGGTACATACACGTACATATACAACCTAGATAGTAGAGTCGTTCGATTCTGAACTTTCGAAAATGCCCAATTCGCCAATCTGCGCGTTTGTACTACTCGAACTGATTGTTTTCCCCAGTCTTTACTTTCCCCTCTCACCTGAGAATTCATATAGTTCTAACAAATTCCTTCTTCTTGCTCTCCTCCATATCTCTCTTCACTGTTAGTACTCCATCATGCTTGAAGGTAAGTGTGTTCGCGGTGTTTTTGTTGTATGCGCGTTCTTGGCAGTTCAACTTGCCCCGGTCAAATTTTCCCGCTCTGCTTCTTATCTTTCAATCAACCCGATTCAAATTGTCGGAGCCCTGTGAAAAGTCCACGACCGCTTGTTGGATTAATTGTATCCTTGATCGTCTGTGTAATCCTGTCTTTCTCAGTCGGCCTTCCCTTCACCAATTCCTGTCATAACCCGCCTCCTACCTTTTCCCCTCCATGGGTGTCGCAAGACTCACCAGACGAAGCGGTCTCATTGCGCGCGCAGTGGGGGATTCCAAGTACTCACCGGGACCCCTGCTCACGGCGCAGTCTCTCGTGGCACGCAGCAAGATCGCCTCTGTCCCCGCATCACACCAAGCCCTTCTCAACCTCCCCATCCCTATCCTGCGCGAGACACCAAAGCACCAGCGGAGAACCACCGTCGATCGCGGAACCACCTGCCAAGCCCAAGACCCAGACCAAGACCCAGACCAAGACTGACATTCCTGGTGCGGATCCCGCAGACCGATATGCAGCAGGCCTGCGCCTGAACAAGGAATGGGCTGCCCAGACAGCCCGCAACCAGCCCGAGCTCTTCCCTACCCTGGCCTCGGGCCAAACGCCGCAGATTCTGTGGATCGGGTGCTCCGACTCCCGCTGCCCCGAAACCACCTTCCTAGGCCTGCAGCCCGGCGACGTCTTCGTGCACCGCAACATTGCCAACATCCTCCACCCGGGCGACCTCAGCTCCAACGCCGTTATCGAGTACGCTGTGCAATACCTGCGCGTCAGCCATGTCGTGGTGTGCGGGCACACATGCTGCGGTGGTGTCTCGGCTGCCATGGGCAATAAGAACTTGGGTATTCTGGATCCGTGGCTGTTTCCCTTCGTCAGCTGCGCGAGCGCAACCTGGAACTTCTGCAGTCAATGCATGCTGAAGAGGCGTCGTCGAAGCTGGCTGAGCTGAACGTTCGCGAGGGCTGAACATTGTCAAGCAGAAGAGTGTTGTGTTGAACGCGATCCGCGACCGGGGACTGCAGCTGCATGGCTTGGTTTACGATGTTGGATCCGGTGTGCTTAGTGAGCTGGACATGCAGGACTCGGAGGAGGTTATCAGGGCTCGTTTGACGGCTTTTCAAACGGAGTGAGTTGGCGGGGTTTTTTCGGGCTTGGGACTTTTTCGGCCGAAGGCCACGGGATGTACGGAGTAGCAGAAGCGAGACTTGCGGAGTAGAACATTTCTGGATAGCGACAGTGTGCATTTGATGAATTGATGATAATTGTAAACAAAATTTTCTTTTTTTTGTGGCCTGGAGGGATCTCTCATTCTCTCAGAATGTAAACATGATGGCATGATGTGTGGGTAGCCGATGCGATGAAAAGACCAATCAGAGGAGACGGTGAGGTTATACGAAGTATGTCTGCCAAATTGGGAGGAGCAGGTATCTTTTGTATAGCAACTCCATACAAAAGGGTACATACACATCTAGACACGATTAGGTGCATGATCCCACATCTACCTATATATGTGCATAGCCTTGCTTGTCTTAGGTTTCTTATTTTCAGTTCTGTTTGTATTCTGCAATATGCCAGTGATCCAAGGCCTAGATGGTGTAACCTCCACCGTTTGACTCTTCACAGTCCTTTACCGACAATAGTTATAGACAAAAAATGACATCAGTACCATGTTATAGAAACAAGGTTAATCAAATATACAGGCAGAAGCAGGCAGATGGTGTAAATCGTACCAAAGGCGTGTCTCATACACTCAGGCGGACAAGCATATAAGGGTAATCCTTCCCACGTCAAACCTTCCACCATCCACCTTTCTTCTCTGAGTACTCTTCTCACTGAAACTTCGATCCCCTTCCAGTTCCTCTCACTTGACATCCATGATGAAGATCGAACTCTATGATGGAGTTGGTAGAAGTCTATATTCCTTCTGACATTTGACCTATCATTCACATGCTAACGGTCAAAGCTGTCGATGATAGCATCACAGAACCCGAGGTCCAAGAGATCCAGTTTGAGCCTGAGGGCACCCTCTGTGATGTCCGCACCCTCTACCAGAAAAGTTCCGATGGTTGGGGCCAACCGGTATGGACCAAAGAAATGCCCATTGACTTGCCCGCACCCGTCTTGGATGCAGAGTCAGCACAAGACGCACTCCTCACGAAGAAGGTGAAGTGCTTCGATGGACGCGGAGCTTGTCGATTCATTCCGTTGTTGTGCAAAGCGAGCGTCTCAAGGAGTTCTTGAAGAGGCACTGAAGGGTTATCCTAGTGTCGCCCTGACCTTGGACCGCCCCGAATTCTGCTCGCCTTTCCGGGCTTTCGTTCATCGATGGGAAGAAATCACCAAACTGCGGGACGAAGTCAGGATCCAACAACCAAGGCACATGTGGATATGTTCTACCGCATCATGGACGAGGAGCTCAGGGATGTCATCGACAGCAAGAATGAGCTGGTTGCCAAAGGGGGTCATCACTTTTGAGTTGGTTTGGACAATCATCAAACCGGACGATGTGGTCCTTTCTTCGGCCAAGGAAGGGCTCCGTGCTTATTCGTCCACACGCGGATCGTCGGACGGTGAAGGATCGCCAATTGATTATTTCCAAGCCGAATACGTCGAGTTCGATTGAACCAAGTTCGGATACAACACCACGGATTTCCATGATCCCCCGATTTGAAGGCGCTATGCCAATCACCTCGTTGACTATCTTCCCCTCAGATTCCACCCCGTGAAGGAGGCGGTCCAGGAGATGTTGACTGCACGGGGCAAGAAGTGGAAGCCCTCAAGGGGTACCATTTCAGATCATATGATTCTTCAACCAGCACGAACTCCAACGGTCATGTCAAGAATCGCGTCATCATTGACGCCCAGGCATACAACAAGTTTGCGCACCACAAGACAATCAACTTTGATAAGGAGATTGGTGAAGAACTGGATGATGCACAGCGCCTCATTGCAACCCCAATGCTCAACGGATATGCCCTGAATGACAAAAATGGCGTTCGTTCCACGTGGATCGTGTGCAAGACATTGATTGGGATGAGCAGGCCTTTGAGTCACTGGTCCTACTGCGGGAGCAGCGGGGGTTCAAGGACGTCATCTTGGCCGTCGTAAAGGCCCAGTCCCAGAAAAAGGATACATTTGATGACGTCATTCGGGGCAAAGGCCAGGGGTTCATTGTCCAAGCTCAGCGGTCCTCCAGGTGTCGGAAAGACCCTGACTGCGGAAAGTGTTGCTGAGGTCATGAGGGTTCCTATTTATGTCATGAGGTGCCGGCGACCTTGGAGTCGAAGCCAAACGCTTCGTGAGTCAAAGTTGAAAGACATCTTGGAGCTGGTTCCCAAGTGGGGTGCTATTCTGTTGTGATGAGGCTGATGTCTTCATGGGAAGCCCGTGATTCCGCCAATCTCGATCGCAATGAACTTGTCTCACTCTTCTTGAGAACTCTTGAATACTACGAGGTAAGCTCTGAATCTGGGGAAACGCACAAATGACATGTTACTGATCTTCTATATTTCTCTCCAGGGTATTCTCTTCTTCGACCACCAACCGTACGCAGAATATCGATCCTGCCTTCGATTCTCGCGTCCACCTTTCCATCGCCTACAAGGATCTCGATGCGGAATCCAGACACCAGGTTTGGGGACAGTTCCTCAGCCGCTCGATGAACATTGAAGCCATCACGGATGAGCAACTTGACCAGGTGGCCAAGTTGCAAATTGAATGGCCGCACAGATCAAGAATGTGATCAAGACCGCTGGTCTTCTAGCTTGTTCCAAGGAGCGTGAGATTCGATTTGAAGATCTGCAGACGGTGCTTGCTCTGAGAAATTTGCAGAAGTGATGCCTGGTGAGACAAGGGGGCAATATTCCGTACTTCATGATGGAGTGAGATGGTAGCTAGTTAGAAACATTCTAGACTTGATATTTGAAATCAAAAAAAAAAAAGCATTATTTTATGCGCACTTTTGTGTCTGTAAAAGGCGGACCGGTGAATTGCCTCTTGGTAGTTTTAGCTCCCTGTCCTCCGTAACGTTTGTAACATGGGGCTAGCGGTAACGATGGAGGATGAATACTGTTATTTTTCATTCTTGATACAGATGGATCACGTGGCTTGACCAGGATTCTTTAAAACAGGCCGAAACGTTTGTTTTGATTACTACAAGATCGTGATTTCCGGACTAGTTATAACATAGTGTTGCGATTTTAGAGAGTTAGAGACTTATTGGAATTATTATGCCACGTACACACTCGCAATACCACCATTTTTCTGTCGATCTCATCTCTTTACCACCCACCGCCTTGTCCTGGTTGTAAACTGGTGGGCTGGTACTCGCTAGGCCACAGACGTAAAAGCATACACATTTTCATAGAGCACCTGCGGCAGTGTCGGATGGATCCCCTGAGGGTGAGGGACTGTTGGCACATAACAGCTTGACGAGGATATGGCTGGTGAGTACCACACTTCCCAGCTTCTGCATATCCCGCAGAGGTTGCACGATCATGCGCCAAAGCTCTCTT